TTCCCGAGGCCTCCGGGGCTGAACCGGGGCTTTGAGGGCCTTTAACGGGGGAGAGCCCTCCCGGTGCTCCGGTTTTGGTTCTTTCTCGCTGGAATTCGGGGCCGATTTCAACCGAAATCGCGGCAAAATCGGAATTTTTTTTGTTTATTTTTAATCTTTATTTTGTTTATTTAACAGCGCTTTTCCCGGTTTGTTTTTTTTTTTGTGTTTTTTTTTTTTCCGGGATTTCGGCTCCTCCCGTAGCTCAGAAAATCCCGGGATTTGCGGCGCAGCAGGGAACGGGATGAAATTCCAAGGATTTCTTCAACCCGGAGAATTGATTTTTGTTTTTTTATTGCGGTTTTTGTTTTGATCGAAACAAAAATCCGCGATCCAGGGAATTCCTGCAATGTCCGCCCTGGAACCGGGAACGACTTAAAGGCAACGCCGCGCTTTGGCTTTTCTTCGCTAAATTATTAATTAGGAAATTAAAAAATAATTTTAAAAAGGTTTTTTTTGGTGGGGGAAATTCCGGTAAAGACTGAGAGCGCTCCAGGCATCGCTGGAACTTTGGGGATTTTTTATTTTTATTTTTATTTTTTTTGAGGGGGGGAGATTGATTGGAAAGGAAAATCAAAGAGGAGGAAAAAAAAAGGGATCGGAGATCGCTGAGAGCGCCCGGAGCTGCCGGCGGGCACGGCTGAGGTGGGTCCGGGGATGCTTTGGGGTTTCATTCATTAATTGGGGGGTTTTTAATTAATTGGGGGTTGGATTAATTTGGGATTTATCCCAATTAAAGGGATCCAGGGAAGGTCGGGATGGAGCTGGAAAGGTTCAGGATGGATCCAGAAGGTCCTGATGGATCTGGAGAGGTTTGAGATGGATCCAAGGATGGATCCAGAAGGTCCTGATGGATCTGGAGAGGTTCAGGATGGATCCAGAAGGTCTTGATGGATCTAAAGAGGTTCAAGATGGATCCAAGGATGGATCCAGAAGGTCCTGATGGATCTGGAGAGGTTCAGGATGGATCCAGAAGGTCTTGATGGATCTAAAGAGGTTCAGGATGGATCCAAGGATGGATCCAGAAGGTCCTCATAGATTTGGAGAGGTTTGGAATGGATCCAGAGGGGTTTAGGGATGGATCCAGAGGGTCCTGATGGATCCAGAGAGGCTTGAGATGGATTTGGAGAGGTTCAAGGTGGATCCAGAAGTTCCTAATGGATGTGGAGAGGTCTGGGATGGATCTAAAGGGGTTTGAGATGGATCCAGAAGGTCCTGATGGATCTGGAGAGGTTCAGGGTGGATCCAAGGATGGATCCAGAAGGTCATGATGGATCTGGAGAGGTTCAGGGTGGATCCAGAGAGGCATGGAATGGTTCTGGAGAGGTCTGGGATGGATCCAGAAGTTCCTGATGGAACTGGAGCAGTCTGGGATGGATCTCAAGGGTTTTGGGATGGACCCAGAAGGTCCTGATGGATCCAAAGAGGTTCAAGATGGATCCAGGGATGGATCCAAAGAGGTTCAAGCTGGATCCACAGAGTCCTGATGGATCTGGAGAGTGTCAGGATGAATCCAAGGAGGTCTGGGATGGATCTAAAAGGGTTTGAGATGGATCCAGAGGCTCCTGATGGATCCAAAGAGTTTCAAGATGGATCCAGGGATGGATTCTAATGGATCTGGAGAGGTTTGAGATGGATCCAGAAGGTCCTGATGGATCCAAAGAGGTTCAAGATGGATCCAAGGATGGATCCAGAAGGTCCTGATGGATCTGGAGAGGTTCAGGATGGATCCAAAGGGTCTCAGGTTGGATCTAAGGAAGTTTGGGATGGATCCAGAGGATCCTGGTGGATCTGGAGAGGTTCAGGGTGGATCCAAGGATGGATCCAGAAGGTTCTGATGGATCTGGAGAGGTTCAAGATGGATCCAGGGATGGATCCAGAGGGTTCTGATGGACCTGAAGAGGTTTGGGGTGGATCTAAAGGGCTTTGGGATTGATCCAGAAGATCCTGATGGATCCAAAGAGGTCCAAGATGGATCCAGGGATGGATCTGGAGAGGTTTGAGATGGATCCAGAGGGTCCTGATGGATCTGGAGAGGTTTAGGATGGATCCAGAGGGTCTTGATGGATCCAGAGAGGTTCAGGATGGATCCAAGGATCCCCTAAAAAAATCAGAATTCACAGCACCAGGTGTTTCCCATTCCTGTTTTTTTTCCAGGGATTTTTATTTTTTTGGGAATTTTTCTCTTTGGANATTAATTGGGGGTTGGATTAATTTGGGATTTATCCCAATTAAAGGGATCCAGGGAAGGTCGGGATGGAGCTGGAAAGGTTCAGGATGGAGCCAGAAGGTCCTGATGGAGCTGGAGAGGTTTAGGATGGATCCAGGGATGGATCTGGAGAGGTTTGAGATGGATCCAGAGGGTCCTGATGGATCTGGAGATGTTTGGGGTGGATCTAAAGGGCTTTGGGATTGATCCAGAAGGTCCTGATGGATCTGGAGAGGTTCAGGATGGATCCAAAGGGTCCTGATGGATCTGGAGAGGTTTAGGATGGATCCAAGGATGGATCCAGAAGATCCTGATGGATCCAGAGAGGTTCAGGATGGATCCAAGGATGGATCCAGAAGGTCCTGATGGACCTGGAGCAGTCTGGGATGGACCTAAAGAGGTTTGGGATTGATCCAGAAGATCCTGATGGATCTAAAGAGGTTCAGGATGGATCCAGGGATGGGTCCAGAAGGTCCTGATGGATCTGGAAATGTTCAAGATGGATCCAGGGATGGATCTAGAGAGGTTTGAGATGGATCCAAGAATGGATCCAGAAGGTCCTGATGGATCTGGAGAGGTTTGGGGTGGATCTAAAGGGCTTTGGGATTGATCCAGAAGATCCTGATGGATCCAAAGAGGTCCAAGATGGATCCAAGGATGGACCCAGAGGGTCCTGATGGATCTGGAGAGGTTCAAGATGGATCCAGAAGATCCTGATGGATGTGGTGAGGTCTGGGATGGATCTAAAGAGGTTTGGGATGGATCCAGAGGGTCCTGATGGATCCAGAGAGGTTCAGGATGGATCCAAAGGGCCTCAAGGTGGATCTAAGGAAGTTTAGGATGGATCGAGAAGGTCCTGATGGATCTGGAGAGATTTAGGATGGATCCAAGGATGGATCTAGAAGGTCTTGATGGATCCAAGGATGGATCCAGAGAGGCTTGAGATGGATTTGGAGAGGTTCAGGATGGATCCAGAAGGTCCTGATGGATCTGGAGAGGTTTGAGATGGATCCAAGAATGGATCCAGAAGGTCCTGATGGACCTGGAAAGGTTTGGGGTGGATCTAAAGGGCTTTGGGATGGATCCAGAAGGTCCTGATGGATCCAAAGAGGCTCAAGATGGATCCAAGGATGGATCCAGAGGGTCCTGATGGATCTGGAGAGGTTCAGGGTGGGTCCAAGGATGGATCTAGAAGGTCCTGATGGAACTGGAGCAGTCTGGGATGGATCCAGAAGATCCTGATGGATCCAGAGAGGTTCAGGATGGATCCAGGGATGGATCTGGAGAGGTTTGAGATGGATCCAGGGATGGATCCAGAGGGTCCTGATAGATCTGGAGAGGTTTAGGATGGATCCAGAGGGTCTTGATGGATCCAAAGAGGTTCAAGATGGATCCAGGGATGGATCTGGAGAGGTTTGAGATGGATCCAGCAGGTCTTGATGGATCCAAAGAGGTTCAAGATGGATCCAAGGATGGATCCAGAAGGTCCTGATGGATCTGGAGAGGTTTGGGGTGGATCTAAAGGGCTTTGGGATTGATCCAGAAAGGTTCAGGATGGATCCAGAAGGTCCTGATGGATCCAAAGAGGCTCAAGATGGATCCAAAGGGCCTCAAGGTGGGTCTAAGGAAGTTTGGGATGGATCCAGAAGGTCCTGATGGATCCAGAGAGGCTTGAGATGGATTTGGAGAGGTTCAAGATGGATCCAGACGGTCCTGATGGACCTGGAGAGGTTCAGGATGGATCCAAGGATGGATCCAGAAGGTCCTGATGGAACTGGAGCAGTCTGGGATGGATCTAAAGGGGTTTGGGATGGATCCAGAGGGTCCTGATGGATCTGGAGATGTTCAGGATGGATCTAGAAGGTCCTGATGGATCTGGAGAGGTTCAGGATGGATCCAAGGATGGATCCAGAAGGTCCTGATGGATCCAGGGAAGTTTGGGCTGGATCAGGAGAAGCTCAGGAATGAAATTCCCCCAATCCAATGGATTTGGGGCCGGGAATGGATTTTTTGGGAATTCCTGCTGGATTTAAGAATGGAAATCCATCAGAAAAAAAGAAGAAAATTCAGGATTTATCCAAATTTTTATGATTTTTAATATTTTTTAAATAATATTTTTTTAATATTTAAACCCTAAAATTCTCCTTTCCCAGGGATCAACATTTCCATAAAACCTCAATTTTCCCAAATTTCTTTAGATTTTCACACCAAATTCCAATTTTTTTCTGGCTCCCATCGGAGGAAAACCATCCAGGGGGGGTTGGTGCTGATAAATCCAAAATTTTTTCGCAATTTTTGTTAAATTCAGGAAAAAAAAAAAGAGACATTTGAAGGAAAAACTCCCCTAAAAAAATCAGAATTCACAGCACCAGGTGTTTCCCATTCCTGTTTTTTTTCCAGGGATTTTTATTTTTTTGGGAATTTTTCTCTTTGGA